TACTGACTGTCTCAATTGGAATGAACTTCGTAATTTTAGCACTTGATCCCACCGAACGTACCAAAATGTTGACTCTAAACCAGATTATTTGATGAGAATAATTAGGTGGTAGTGATCCAAAAAAATCTCTTTCCCCAGATAAAAACCCACCTCCCAATTCCCATGTCCCCGTTCAACATTTGCAGCCTTTCCAATTTATTTATTGGATAAAAAAAATTAAAAAAAAAAAAAAAAAACAGATAACGTATTTAAAACGAACAACCGACCCAGCCTGTCGAAAACCAACCCCCACGCCTCCTCCTCCTCCTCCTCCCCTCTCCTCTCTCTCTCTCTCTCTCTCTCCCCATCTATAACTTTTCTCAACTTATTGCAGAAGCAAAAGAGCAACGGCCCCAGGAACAAAAGATAAAAATTCAGAATTTTTTTCTGGGTGTTTTGTTTTTTCTTTCTTTTAACACCGCCAACAACAATGAGCTACTACAACCAGCAGCAGCCCCCTGTTGGTGTTCCTCCACCTCAGGGTAAGTAGATTTCCATGTTTGGGATTTTTCTTAATGTTGTTTAGATCTGTATAAAGAGTCGAAGTAGTTTGATGAAGTTTTGAATTTTGTGACTTGGTTTTTGTTCTGATTTGTGTTTTTGCCACTTTTGTTTGTGTAAATTGGAATTGGAATAGGTTATCCACCGGAAGGATATCCTAAAGACGCTTATCCGCCGCCGGGATATCCACCGCAGGGATACCCTCCACCTCAGGGGTACCCCCAAGGGTACCCTCCTCCCTACGCCCCTCAGTATGCCCAGCCTCCCCCCCAACAACAACAAAGCAGCAGCAGTGGCTGTATGGAGGGCTGGTATGTAATTTCCTTCTCATTCTTCTTCTTCTTCTACTTCTTTTACTTTCTGTATTTCGTTTTGTCAAATCTGTGAAACCGAGTTGTCTTGACTCAGATCTGGGTTGGTCTTGTTGAGTTTGGCACAACTCGATCCCTGGTGGTTGTCCTTTAGTCAATCCTGGTTTACACCTTTTTTCTTGAAAGATGGGTTCACATGAATAGTCCTAGTCTTGGCCGGAGGGCGATGACTTTTGTTCCCAATTTACCCCTTTTCATGCAGAAGTACTTACCCAACGGAAGAAGATTTTAGGTTTCGTTGGGTAAGTAATAGATTTTAAAGGATTTTAAAAGATTTTAAAACTAATAGATTTGATAGAATTTAGGAGGATTTAAGATTCTTACAAAATTCATATGGATTTTAAAGAATTTGAATGGATTTAGTTTGTAGATTTTGGTGGATTGAGGTAGATTTTCATATATTTTTTTTATTAAATATATATATATATATATTTCCCCTTGCCCTACTGTACTCAACAACCACTTTATCCCCTCCCTTTTCGGGTCTCCTTTCACACAACCACGGCTCTATCTCTTTCTCAATTGATAGATCAACGTAACTTTGGTGAGCTTTTGAGCACTACACCACCACCAACCATCACCACCGACTGTTTTTTTGCCATAAACATACTTTGTGGTACTTCAGTAGTGCTTGTAGTACCACATGCATTAAAAAATCAGAATGGCTAGAGCATAATATTAACCATAATCCTAGATCGATCATGTCCTTGGATGATCATACATGCCTAATTAAGGTCTAAGGAACATAATAACAGATTCCACCAAAGTATATGGTGGTTACCTGTGTGTGGCTGGGGTTGGTAAAGATTTGTGGATTGCCCAGATGGAAAATGATTTGAAATCTTAAGGGGGTGAGATTGAATTCTTTTTAGTCTTGGTTATATATTCTTCTTGCTCTCAAACCCCACAAAATTCACAACTTATTAAAATCCTCCAAAATCTTAATTTTTTTTAATACACTTAGATTAGGATGAATTTTAAAATCCTTTAAAATCTTTTAATTGACTACACATAGATTTGAATGGATTCCAAAATCATTTAAAATCTTTTAATTGACTACATTAAGATTTTAAAGTCTTTTAAAATCCTATTAAATCCAAGTTTGACTACATAATCTCTCTCATTTCCTTTTTTTTTCTTACTTGAATGATTACGATTAAGTCACATCAATATTTCATATTAATTTTTTATTAAAAAAAAAAGACAAAAAGCATGCGACACAAATCCGCTGTGACATTGTAAACTAATAATATAACGCTGTATGAAAAAAATTAAAACACATACGATTACATTCTTTGCTTAGAAGAATGCATTCCATTAATTAGTCATTTTTATCTATTTATTAGATCATTCTCGAAATTGAAACTCATTTCTATGTTATGTCCTCAGAGTCAAGGGCAACCCAGTCATTTAAGTGTTTGATGTTTATGAGGTTGTACATACGACAATAATCTTCTGTAGTACACCTATAGAATGTTGTCGTTTATAGACAGGGGAAGTACGTCACTGTTATCCGATTTTGTGATTGTTGCAGTTTGGCTGCTCTGTGCTGTTGCTGTCTGCTCGATGCCTGCTTTTGATTGGAGTTCTGGATCAAAAATATGAAGTGAAAGGTGAAGTCCATTTGATTGGATTGTGAACAAAATTTGATTCCCTGATTTGGGCTGTCAGATTTTTCTCTGTTATTTTGTCTATTTTTCGTTTTTTTCCTTTTCGATTGTGAACAAAATTCGATTCCCTGTTTTATATATAATATGAACTTCTGCTTGAATGTTACATTGGTTGATATATTCTATGCGCTTAGCTTATTTCATTTGAGTTCTCAACTCGAGTTGTGCTACGTGCGGCTAATGCTAGCATAATTCTTACCGAGATGGACAAAAATTTGGACGTTGTTTACAGGGTACAACATTGGACAACTATGATTTTTTGGAAGCTTATAGGTTTATGACATTGTTAGGTTTTATTGAGGTGATGGGTTGGATTTTGTTTTTGGGGATAGAAACAGCTGGAGGAATATTTCCTTTGAGCTGGAGAAACTTTGTGGTGATGCTTTGGAAAATGGGAATAGGATTCTATCCAGTTTCTTTTTATGAGAATCCTAGGATCAGTTTATTATATCCGTCCATCAATCATTCTGTTGTCAGAAATCATTTTGAATTTTTTTATTTAAAATTGAACACAAACAGTAAATGAAAATTAGTTGCACGATGTATGATGAACGGTATATCCGTCCATCAATCATCCTGCAACCATAAATCATTTTGAATTTTTTATTAAAAATTGAATACAAACAGTATCTAACGAAAGCTAGTTGGATGATGTATGATAAACATTTAAGACGAATTGATCCCAGGAATCCTTACAACGAGGATCCGGAAAGGATTCTCAATCATGAAAAATGCTTCTACTTTGAGGTGGCTGTCATGCAATCCGGAAAGGAAATGTGAAGATTTAAATAAAAAAGAGGGAACAAGGTTGGAATAAAGTACAACCTATGACATGGGAAAAGGCTTTATATTCAGAATTATTTAGATAATGAATTAGAAACATCCGGAATATGATACCGTATTTGCTCACCGTTCAAGTATCCATTATGAGTCTAATGGACAAGTCGTTTGTAGCTTAGTTGATTAAGAGCATTCACTCTTGCACGCCTAAAGTCTTGAGTTTATTACCCTTCCCCATTATCGCTTACAGAGTTGTCCTTATTCAAATTGAGGCCTAAGACGAAAATGAAGACCTTCCGAATTTTGACCCGAATATGAATTTTTCTTTTCACAACAATATGAATTTGAGATGCATCATATTTGGTTTATGAGAAAATAAGAGATTTTTTTTTCCTTCTTTCGAATCAAGAATACAATGAATGATGAAAATTTTAAGATATGTAATAAGATTATAGGAATTATAAGACATATAATAAGAGTCTGAATAGGTCCTCTGAAGTGCTGTTATTCATGGAATCACTCTCCACCACGACTTGTTGAAACCTTGCTCTCGGTCAATTGCAATCCGTACCTCACAACAAATAACTCCAGGAGCGGCACATAAGTGATGCATGGGTATTGATGCTCCCCTGCCGCCAAGAAACCACCCCTCCAGTCTCGTATCACCACTCCAACACCACCCAGCTTGGTATTGACATTCAACGCTCCATCCGCATAAATCAAAGAAATCTTTAACAATTAGCCTTATGTCAATAATTATTTTTTTGTTTTAGACCTAGTCAATAGGCTTATATTTGTAATAAAAAAAAAATTAACAAACGATATGTTCTATACTACGAGGGAGGGGGATAGCTTAGCCTTACAATGGACTAGCAATAATGTGGTTCAAATTTACCATTGGCGATAATCAAACCTAAGACCTATTTCTTATAAGTAAAGAAGAATATCACTAGACCATAGTACTAAATGACGGCTTATATTTATTATTAGGTATAGGTCAACGAAGCAAGCCCATGATTTTCAAGCCTTTATAATTAAGTAGAAAAATTACATTTACCCCTTATTAAGCAGGAAGAATAAAAACTCAACTGCACGTCCTTGAAGCTCATACGTTTTACGGATTCAGACTATGAGTTGCAATTTTCAGTTTTTTTTTTTAAATTAAATTTGATATTGTTGTAGGCCTAATTTATTGAATAATTATAAGGAACGGAGAGGGGATGGCCGGCGGCAGAAAGAGAGAAGAGAGAGATGTATAACTCAAAAGAGTCATTACTCCCTAAAACTCAAAATTCTCTTCACTTTACCCCTGAAACTCAATTTTGCGTTTGCCCCCTTAAATTTAAAATTTGTCTCTATGAAACTAAAAATTCACTCCATAATTGATCGAAAATGATTCCTTGTGCTATTTTGATCCCAGTTTACCCCCTTATCTTAGTTTCTTACTAGCAGGATTGCCCGCGCTTTGCTGCGGGTTTTCAAATTATGAATAATATTCATAGAAAATTTAACTGAAAATGCTACAGCGATATAATCGCATTCTTAAATGTAACAATTTAGAGAACGCATGTTTTATATGAGTAACGCTCACAAAACCACACATTTACACAATTATCTCCAAATGAAAGAAAAAGCGAGATATGTGAATTGATCCATAAAATACGTAGTTTAATTTACATCGCTACTCATTAAGTCGACATCAAATAGAAGCTTCACATCACAATAATTAACCACAATCCTCTATTTTTGTAAGTGCAAAATGAAAAACGGAATCAAATATTAAACCCAATATCTTCACAGCACAATGTTCAACCCAAAATCTTCACATTAGCTCAAGAACTATATTGTTTCCAGAGCTTTCCAATTTCCCAGCACGGAACAACAAACATAAAAGCATTAAAATAGCTCTAAATTAAAACAATAGGATGAACTTCAAAACGATAGAGGAAAGATTAAGAGCTTACCCTCACAAAATCAAAGCTCACCAAAATGCTTACCCTAACCAGCGAATCGTAAAGAATAAATCTGCATCAACATGTAAATCATAGAAAAAAAAATTAAAATTTATAAATACCATCAGTTCACTACTAATTTGAATAAATCTAGAAACAATACATTGGAATAATCTTTTAGTCTTCCAATATTAATAGGTTAGAAATTCAGAAGATAAAACACCACGATTCATTAAATTCAAAGTTGAACAATTCATTAAATTCAGAGCTTACCTACTGTAACATCAAATGATAGAAGCAAGACTTGTGTTAAAAGTCATGTGATGTGTATATTTACAGACACCAAGATTTTACATGCCCAAGAAAGGGAATCACTCCATTAAAAAGAGAGGAACTACTGACACTGCAGGTACATTAACCAGACCACTACTTTTGAATGACAGCATATGCTCGAGTAAGCGAAAGACTAAAAGACAAAAAGAAGAGGGTTATATACCCGTTTCAATGTCATTGTCAGGGGCCTCTTAAACCTGGTTCCAGAATGAGGATAGTCCAACACTCTCATAGTGACTAATACTTATTGTGACCTTCACTCAGTTTGTGAATTAGAAACTTAAAATACACCAAAAATTATATTAATAGCCATTCCCCTAATTTTAACTACTAACAGCGTAAATAATTGGAAATTACAATTAAGACCAATGTTTTCCCCCTTTTTTTTCATTGCCATAAAAGGCAGAAAAACAAAGGCTTCTAAAACTCAAACCAACCGTCTCATTTCTTCCCAAAAATAAACACATTTTAATCCAACATTCATAAATGCGTGGTCAGACAAGGGAGAAAATTATGTTAATTTGGGCTTCAAATTTACAAACATAACTGTTTACAATAAGCATATATAACATGATTTGGTCTACAGTGCTTTCACCAATAGTTATAAAAAACAAAGATTCTAAAGATATGCATGCAATAGAATGACTATTACCTCCAAGTAAGCAATTGCATGGTTGCAATCTAAGTTGCACACATCATGTTCAATCTGATAGCTTCAGTATAGCACTTGACAACATTATTTCAGGCTTTTCCTTAAATGAAGTATTTCCCTGGGAAAAGATTAGCAAACATAGAAATTGAAACAATACACATAAATACATTGGTATCCCAGTTCTTTGCTAATAGAAAATGAAATTAAGGGGATGGAGAGACCTAATTTCAACTTTTTGAAGGAGAACACCACACTTCATTCATATCAAAGAACAGCATGATTCCAATTTCAATTTTGAACATAATAAATCACTTAGCATTCATATATTACTTCAACTTCTTTCAAATTTACTTTTGTATTTAAAGATTGTATATTTTAATGAGTCTAAATTGACTATATATAAATTATACCTTTTTATATTTAAATAATAATGTACATTGTATAATTACACTTGTAGTCCATGAATACAATTAGGGGCCTTTGAATTTCTTTGCAAGAGAAGATTTACACGGAAAAGCAACTGCAAATATACAGAAGGAGGGAATTTGAGTTTTGTAGTCCATCTACTCAACAATTTCTTAATATAGATACAACTGAGCAGTGGGAGAGCTTTAGCTAATACTATTCAATTCCACAGGTAATTATAAAAAAATAATCACATAATTTCTCACAATAAAAATCAATGTGACTAAAAACAAATTATATGTATCAACTTTGATGATTTCCCTTATTTTCCCTCTCCTTCCCAACAACCAAACAGGGGCAAAAATTACCAAAAACTAAAAAGATTGAAGTACCTGAGCAAGTTGGAATGCCTGGGTTGCCATATATACTTGGTGTAAAAAAAATAAGGGTGGGCATTTTCAGAGCACCTAAACCCTTCATCCACAAACGTATGTAAAAAATCATACAAAATAATATTTTGAATGCATTAATCCGTAGAAACAAATAAGCTAAAATCAAACTTCTCTATCAGAAAGTAAAGACACGATCCAAAAATCCATTAACATAAAAAAGATGTCAATGTCCATTAGCAGCAAGTTTCTCACCTGGAAGACAAATCTCTTTTTCATTCCTTGAACTAATAGAAGACCTTTCATACGATATATGTCCTCACTTCGTTTCAACAACAGTGTACCAAGACATATGTTAGCCTGAAAAAATAAAAACGAAATCAGTAGTCTTTGTCAGGTTTTCTTTCATACATGCCTGGACAAAGACTCTGGATGCAACTGGCCCTCAAATGTGTACTTGTCTCATTCAAAGGCAACAGGTCCACATGGAAGACACAGAAGAAATTATCAAATATATTGCAAAATACGACAAAACAGAGATCCTACCTTTTCAAGTTCTAAGTTCCCTTCACAAACTATGCTGACAGAAGAAACGCCAGGATCATGAACATGATCATGGGTGTGGTGATCCTCATGATGGTCTGCACATCAGTTTCAAATGTGTGAATATCAGTTCATAAATCAAATCACAATTATAGTGGAAGATCAGAACTCTTAAAGCAAATCAAAATATTATCCAATCAAAAACCAAACTAAAGCAAATCACATACGCAACAGAAGCCGGACACAAATCCCACATTTCACAACCAAATCATCATATTAGTTCGAAACATTAAATTCTAAGACCTAAAAATAATAATAACAGTACCTTAAACTGAATCTTGAGGTGAGAACCTCTTGCTTTGCAACCTGCAACAAACCATAGAAATTAAAACCCACGAATCCACAATCAGATAAAAACAATTTTCCAAGAAAAACAAAACCAAGATTGGTATACAAAAGAGCATTAGATCTATAACCTGGAAAACAAAAAGAAAAAAAAAAAAAAAAAGCCATACAAAAAACCCCAAAAAAAAAAAAAAAAAAAAAAAAAAAAAAGAACCGACCTTAAGACAGAGAACAAACAGGCAGACAGAGAGATGAATGTGCAAAATGAGAGAAAAGCAAACTAATAAGGGAAATTAATATCTCTGATGATTCCCCCAAAATCTGACCTAACACACTAAAAAATTCGAAAATAATCCACTTATCTTTCGAAATCACTTATCTTTCCAAGCTGATAGAAAAAAAAAAAAAAAAAAAAATTTAAAAAGCACTTATCTTTCGAAATCCAGGCATGCAGCGGTAGATCCGGATAACCTGTATGGTTTTCTCTGACCATCCCCACTCTCCCACTTCTGAAATCCATGACTCATACCTCTCCCCTTCGCTCTCTTTCCATCGTCATCTCTCTCTCTCTCTCTCTCTCTCTCTCTCTTTCTTCCGCTCTCTATCAGAGTCTCCATCCCCCCGAAACCCTCATTCAAGGACAGCAAATGAAACTGTACACAACAACCCTCGAATTCAGTCAAAACCGAGAAGACAAAACCCACTTTCCCAGTTTTGAAATCCATCACCCATACCTCTCCCCTGTGCTGTCTTCCCATCGGCATCTCTCTCTCTTTCTCTCTTTCTCTCTCTCTCTCTCTCTCTGTTTCTTCCGCTCTCTGTCAGAGCCTCAATTCCCCGAAACCATCAATGAAGGGCAGCAAATGCAACCCTACACGGCAACCCCAAAATTTAGCCAAAACCGACAGGACAAAATTGCCCTTCCAACCTAGTCCACATATAAAGGGTTTCTTGCAAATAAGGTGAAATAAAGGGGTAATTCGTCCTAAACCCTCCGAACAAAATTACCCTTCTCAGTTCAAATAAATAACCTTCAAACCCAGCCCAAATCTCATGGTTTTATTGTAAATAAGATGAAATCAAGAGGCAAACAATTGACTGTAGCCAAATGAACAGTCAATTGCTCCTCAATTTTAGAATAGATAATGTGGGTTTTTTTATTATTTCTTTATCTCTTCAATTCCTTTTAAGCTTAATATTTTTTTATTATTAAATGTTGACAAATAGAGACTTATAATTAAATTTATTATACATGTGTTATAGTCTTATTAGATGTTGAGTCTCATTATTTGTTATAGGATGTGACCTATAAGTTTCAAAGAGAATAGAGAGTCCATAAGTCAAAGTGGAACAAATTTTGAGTTTTATGAAATAAAATAGTGACTTTTAAGTTATATGGAACAAATTGAAATCAAAATAGAAGGCGTAACTAAAAATGAGTCTTAACTTCCTTGGTGAGTAATAAACTTTTGAGAAATTTAATTTGATTTCATCTTTAATAGCCCGTTTGCCCCTTAATGTAAAAATATCGATGTACTAAAAAAAATAGCCCATTTGAAAATGCTTCTTCAAAAAATATTTCTGTTCAAAAGTGCTTCTATTTGAAGTACACTAAAATTTAAAAATCAAGTGCTTTCCAGAATAGCACTTGAAGTGTTTCATGAAGGAAGCTCATAGCAGAAACACTTTAAATATTTATATCAACCCAAAAACAGTTTTAGCTTTTACCTTTTTCTATCAAATACTTTTAAAAGAATTTTTGGTGACTTGAGATCATCTCCAGCCATAAAGCTAAATGTAGAGGGGGCTATTTGGGCTAAGAGCAACTCCATCCGTATCCAGGGTCAAAAATAGTTGGGGGCCCTAAAGTTATTAAGGCAGTATATTCAAATATGTTTTTATAAGAATATAAATTTTTAAAATTGGTCACATGATAAAAAAATTTAACTAGAAGTAGTGGTGTTTGTTGTTTGACATTAAAGAGGAGGTCTTGCCTTCGAAACACTATGTGTGTCTAATTACCTTCCAATTTGTACAAATTTCTTTTCATAAGAGTATAAATTTTCTAACAAAATTTACATTCAAAGAAGCAAGAATAAAGCTTGTAACAATTACAACATTCAAATCATAAACTATGAACTACAAAACCTAAAAGGATTCACCAACTACTAGACTTAGGCTCTTGATACCACTTGAAGGAAGATTTGTGAAAAACATGTTCATTTAAGCAACATCAATAGCATGCAATTAACAATTAAAGGCGGAATCATGCTTGTATGCACTTAAAACAAAACATTTACCCATGAAATTCAAAGCCTAGTAGATAGGTGAACCAAGACTCAACTCAAAAACAAAGTGAGTTGAGAAATCAATACCTTTGTAGATTCCTCTTTGCATAAGCAAAGGCTAATCACCCAAAGAGAGGGCCTTCATTCCTTGCATCTTAGATCCATGGATTTGGTTGGATGAAAAGGTTTCTCCAAGTTCCCAAAATTGAGAACCTCTAAGTCTCCACACCAAGGTATATTGTAGAAGAAATGAGTGACCTAGAGGAAGTAAGATTGCTAGCTATTCCCCTCTAGATTGGCCGGCCTCTTTGAGAGCAAAGGGAGGTTTGTGTTCTCATCTTTACTCCCTAGAAAACCCTAAGGATGAAATGGCTATAAAGATGTCTTTATACCACCTCACAATGGATTGGCAAACTTGCAATTAAGCCAAGTTCACTACCCTCCTCTAAATGGCCGGCCTAAGGGGATTTATTGGGCTATTTGGGCCTTTGTGAATCATTATTCATTAAGTTGTCATACAACTTAAGTCAATGGACTTGACGTTCGAAGCCCATTGGGCCTTAAGGTCCAAAACTACCCGAGGTCTTCAACGAACTTATTCGTTTGATTAATAATCATATTAATTAATCCTTGCCATAAATAATTAAACCATTTAATTATTCTTACTCATCTCCGTTGAATCTTCAAACTCTACCTTACACGGTGTACGATCCATTAGGTTCCTTTTAGCAAGGCAGTGGGCGATTCAAACTCTTTCAAATCGATTGTGAATTGAAACTTACTTTCAATTCTCCCGTTAGTGATAATACACTTTTAGGGCTTCCACAAACCATGAGTGACACCTAGCAGCATATCATGGTTACCCAAGCTAATCAGAAGAGGTGGAGAACCTATTCAGTTTAGGATTACAAATGCAATACGGTCTTTCTCTAATACAATACTCTTGACCACATTGTTTGGTTTGATAGTTTATTCATGTCTACTATCCAATGTGAATCTTGTACTTATATGATTACCTTGAATGTGATTTGGAACGCATTCCAACATCTCATTCATACTCTGGCCAGAGATTCTAAATCATATCATAGAGTATTCTCCCTCAAACAGTTTGAAGGTTAGAGATCCCTTGTTGCGCATTCACTTGCCTCCATGGCTAAGTGGCTTAACCCCAACGATGTCGTGGACACCCTGATAGAGTGACGTTGACATAATCAAAGATTAAGGACCTAACCACAAGACAACTGTGATGCCTCAGGTCAAAAGACTAATTTGCATTATCCCAACCATGAGTTCTCATGTGACATGAATATGAGAACTCTTCGTTGATCGTGTTCAGTGAACTCATTCTCTATTGAGCACCTACGTACTTGTATTGATGTCACACACACCAATGACTCGAGACTAGTCACTCTCCCTGAGAGAAGACATAGCACGTACTGATCTTAACGGACTGTCAATGCCCAATTGACAATCCTATGATCAGGAACGTTTAGGATGTGTCAACGAAAGAATGGTCTCATGAATCTAACTTCTTTAGATCGCATTCTTCCAATCACATATTCCTTGGACTTATCGTTTAAGCATATAACATTTATATTAGACGGCTCAAACAATAATCTTTGCCCTTTACATTTAAACTACATTAGTTTGAAATGAACTACATTAGTTTGAAATGTCCGTAAAGTATCATCATATGATTGGTTTTAGGGCACATTTCCAACAATCTCCCACTTGCACTAGAGCCAATCAGCTTAGTCATCATTGATGATACCTCTTCTGTAATTCATTTCATAAATGGCTGAGTAGTAGGCCTAAACAATGGATATCTATATGTTATCCATAGAAGCAACCTTGAGAATAACGACGTCACCATTATTCATGATTCTCAATCATGTGGTTCAGTCTCTCATTTGAGTTCGGACCTTGATGAGACCTTGATTCCCTGGCTTGAGTTATCGCCCCATTAGTGTCATACACTTTCTGGTTGGAACCGAATGAAGAGTTCATGAATGAACTTTCCCATCCAAACAACAATGTTGTAAGCTTCTATATGGCAATATATTTTGCATACATGATAGAACACATTAAAGTCATTACTTTTAACGTTTCCACCCAAATATCTCTTTAGTCATAATAAAGAGATATCTCATTATCACTTCATTCATAATGAAGAGATATTCTATGATGGATTAGATTCATAATCTATTTCATTTACGCTTCCATTACATTACTCTAATTCTTCCTCATTCTTGAGGAATCCATCCTTAGTATTTCTTAAATACCTAAGGATTCACTTGACAGTTGCCATGGTTCTGATCCTGGGCTTGCACTGATATCATCTTGTACCGTTCTAGGTACGACTTATATCAATGTTTTCATACAATATGAAATACATAAATCACCTTTCTGCGTATGCATAAAGGATTCTATTTACGCATTATTTCTTTGGGAGTCAAAGGGTACATTCCCTTTGAGAAGAACAACTTCCTAGTCTCACTAGAATTGTCATTCTAATTGAAGTTTATCATCATATGAGAAACTTCCTAGCATCTCTTGTCTATTTTAGGGATTGATATAATCCAATTATATCTTGAAATCTATCATTATAGATTTCCATCCCATGTATATAGACTATGTCTCCCATATACATTCTATCATTATAGAATGTTTAAAGTCATAACTTTAACGATGAAGAATTCCTTTCATTTTCAAAATTAATATATATCATGTATATATATTCAAATTTAGGAATATGATCAACTCCCACTAATCTTTTGTAAACCTAGTAAACAAAAGATTCATTTACATCTTTATGAGAAATCAAACAATTGATCTTTTCTCATAAGACGCTTATAGCTCCCACTAGCTTGCTAAGATCCATGATGGATGGATCTTCTTACAACTAACATGTCTTAGAAGTATATATCATATATATATGGGTAATTGATAATGTCCAACGAACTAAATCTTATTTATGTTCATTCTTCTCCTAATGGAGAAATTCATTATCTTATGATGCTACTTTCCTTGATGTTTTTCAAGGAAATTAATCTAAAGTGTTACCTTTTTCTTGGATCAAATCTAAGGAGATAAATACTTTAGACGTCTTACTCATCAACTTACATTTCTTGAATTCTTTGAAACCTTTTGCAAAGTATTCGGACTTGTGTTTATTCAAAATAAACTATAGTCCAACCGAGAGTGATCTTCGGTGAATGTCATACAACATGAGTAGTATTATGTTGTGGACAAGTGCCACTAACATCTAAGTGAATTAACCTCAACAACTTTGTGATTCTTTCTTCTTTCCAAAAGAATAAAGATTCGAACATTTCGCCTCTATACAATTTTAACAAGAAGGTATTGGATCCGGATCTAACGATCCAAAGCATCCATCTATGACCAACTCGTAACTTATGTTTTAGAGGTATCACAACTCAGTTGGGATTAGTCACTACCTTGTAACCTTTTGGGTTTTAAGCATCATCGT